TACCTGTGGATGTGCCATGCCATCCTCCTGCTAACTGCTGACATTGAACATTTGATACTCTAACTTGGCAAGGTAAAGTTTTTCTTGGCAAGATTTGTTCAGAGGAGGTGTGGCTGGGAGCATGTAACTTGCCCAAGGTCATCCAGTGGATTTCATGGATGAGTGGGAATCAAACCCTGGTCTCCAGAGTCATAGTTTAATGCTCAAATCACTACAGTATGCTGGCTGCTTTTAAATAGATAGCCATCTGTCACAGGGGGTGCTTTGATTTTGTGTCCCTGTATGGCAGAATAGGGTTGGAATGGATGGCCTTTGAGTTCAGCTCTATGATTCTATAGAACAAAGATATAGCGCAGACAGAGAGACATTATTCAAGACTCAGAGAAATGGCAACTTTATCCCATCTTCTGTTGCTGGACACCCTGCGTCCTTTCTCAGAGCTCCATCCCCAAGTTCTCCTTCTCTGTTCATGTTGGAGGTGATGCAGTTCACAGAGGATATTACCATGCTAGAAGCCCCAAGGCAAGGAGAGATGGGGAGGGAGAACGTCTGAGCCACCGGTGGGTGATGTATAGTAACCTGGGCCCATTACTGAAAGGCATAATATAGTACAAAAAGTTATTTTTCAGCCAAGGTGCTGACGCAGCTCCATTTTTGTTTCTTATCTGAAAATGATGCATGAATTATCTCCAGCCAAAGCCTGAAATTCATATTATGGACTGCCTCTTTCTCTGTTTTATTTAGGCTGTAAAGCAGCACCTTATTATTTCTTCCTCCTGGGCTGCTTTTAATGAATCTAAGATTTGAAAGTGAAAGATTTATTGCATTTTGAGAAAGTGTGTCCACATTGTAATGCCAGAGTAGGGGGGAGAGGAAAAGGCTTGGTGGGGGGAGAAAGGCATTGATCAGAAAGTGAATCCAGGAACGTTGTCTACTTGGTTTAAAAATAATCAGAGCATTGGGGAATGAACCTGAAAAGGTCATTCAGGTGAAAGTAGAAGACACTCACCTAGGAGAAAGGAATGAAAAGTTGAAAAATGAAGTTTGAGAGCCTGTTCGTGAGTTTCTCTTAATTAGTTTGCTTAGTTCAGTCAACACAATACAATTAGCTATGGGAAACCTTATTGCTATGACACTTTGATACTTCTCTGATAGCCTCAGAGCATGGTGGACTTTCCTTCTTTGGAAATTTCTAAACACAGGTTGGACAGCCACCCTCCCAGGGATCTTTACCTGTTTTATTCCTGAATATCAGAGTTGGATTCCTTTCCAACTCTATGATTTTATGAAATCCAATTGCTACTCCCAATGACGGTAGACCAACTGAACCAAGGTGATTGATATAAGTATTGGTTAACAAGAAGTGCTCTATTTTCCACGGTTTGTTGTTATTAACTGCTCCTGAGTCAGCCTTGACTCTTGGCGACCCAGTGGATATCTCCTAGACTCCCTGCCTCAACCTTTCTGCTCAGGTCCTCCAGGGTCATGCCTGTGTCCTCCCTAATAGATCTATTTATCTAGCATAAAGACTTCCTCTTTTCCTACTGCCCTTCACCTTTCCTAGCATCGTTGTCTTTTCTAATGATTCATTTTTCCTCATGATATGGCCAAAATACAAAAGTCTTAATTTAGTCAGCTTGGTTTCCAGAGAAAGTCCTGGTCTGACCTGTTCTATAACCTATTTGTTTGTTTGTTTTCTTGGCTGTCCATGGTATTTTTAGTATTCTTCTCTAGCATCACATTTCAGAGGAATTGATTTTCTTCCTATTGGCTTTCCCCCCACATCCATACAGGGTGATAGGAAAAGCCATGGCTTGGATGATCCTCACTTTGCTATTCAGAGTTATGTCCTTACATTTTATAATCTTGTCCAGTTCTTTCATAGCAGCCCTCCCCAGTCCTATTCTTCTTCTGATTTCTTGATTGCATTCTCTGATCTGATCAATATTTGAACCAAGGTATGAGAACTCTTTCACTATTCCAATTTTCTCATCGTTTAGGGTGAATTCCATCTAAAAACCTAAGAACTACAGTCAAAGGATTAATGGTGGTCCCACCAACCTGTTTGTCAAGGCTGTGAGCCTTTCAGGACCTGGCTCTGCATTTGTGAAGCTATCTTCCTTTCTGTCTTCAGCTGGAGGAAGATATTACCTATTTTCATTAAGACCTTCCTCTTTAATTCATCAGATTAAACTGCTAAATGTGCCTAAAG